CGACTCTCAAATGTGGACCGTAATTCTTTCTCGCAGACGGGCTTTAGCTTTAGAAAACTATGGGCTTTCACGGGGCCTGGCTTCTTAATGTCCATAGCCTATCTGGATCCTGGCAACATAGAATCGGATCTACAGTCCGGAGTGACGGCGAGATACAAGGTATACATATATACATACACCTGGCGATCTGAAATATAAGAGCAAATCAGTTGCTGCAATCTGCAGTTTTATTTATACTTTACTTATTTACTTTACTTATCATGCAAACTTTCGACTATCCTACTTCTTTCTTTTTTTTTGTTTCGAGTAATGATATTCCTTGTTGACGTCTTCGCTTTCAGTTATTATGGGTACTACTAAGCGCTACTATCCTAGGTCTCGTTATGCAAAGACTCAGCGCGCGCCTCGGCGTAGTGACCGGTCTACATCTGGCGGAGATGTGTTACAGACAATACAAAAAAGTACCTAGATTAATTTTATGGATAATGATTGAAATAGCGATTATTGGTAGCGATATGCAGGAGGTAATAGGAACGGCTATTGCCCTTTACCTCTTATCTAATAAAGCGTAAGTGCCTGATATGACTGATTGCTAAATATTTATCTCTAGCACACGTAAGCTAATACGCGCGTATGTGAAACGTTCCCCGGGCGTATCTTGGACATTTCAAAATTCGTAATCTCTACTTGAGAACGTAAAAACGTCATTTTAAATACGCAATATAATGAGGAATAAAAAAAATCTTACATATAAAAATTTTATAATCCGCCCGATATACATATTATATGTATTATTGCTTACTTACTTTGTATTATATATATTTGCTTACTTACGTTGCAAATATTGTTTAATCGCACACCTTTATCTTTCATATTTATTCATATTTATACATATCTTTCTTCTTATTCTTTCTTCATCTTTATTTTTATTCTTTTTCTTTCACTATGAATTTGTAAAGATAAATAATAATAACACAACAAATAACGTTGTACAAAGAGTTTGTGCTGAGGAAAATCGCGTTTCAGGATTCCTATATGGGGCGGCGTACTTATCACAGTAGTCGACACGTTCACATTTTTATTCCTGGATAAATACGGACTGAGGAAATTGGAGTTTTTCTTCGGTCTTCTCATCGCGATCATGGCTGTCACCTTCGGTTACGAGGTACATTTATTTCAGAATACTTGGTGC